AAGAGGCCATGAACCCATAGCCGTGTGGCCAGGGGATTGGGAACCCCTGATGTAGAGGACTCTACAATCTTTTCCAGTAGTGTGAACAAAGGTGGCTAACAGTAACAGGTAAGTTGACCTACCCAACTGGGAACATGGTGTCCAGTAGGTAGAGTTATTGTACATACCTGTGGCTATTCTATTTTTTAATTAAATAATTTCCATTTAAATACATGAGGTCTTTTTCTTTTCCTTAGAAATATCTTTATTGCAGTTGTTCTTTTTCCCAGTTTTATTGAGATATAATTGACATACAGCACTGTATAAGTTTTAAGTGTACAGCATCACAATTTTACTTACCTATATCTTGAAATGATTACAACAAAGTTAGTTAATATCCATCATCACATATAGATAGAAAATAAAAGAAAAAGAAAAAAAAAACCATTTTCCTTGTGATGAGAATGCTTAGAATTTATTCTCAGAAACTTTCATATATATCATCCAGCATTGTTAAGTATACTTATGTCACATATTATATCACAAGTACTTATTTATCTTATAACTGGACGTTTGTACCACTTGACCACCTTCTTCTCATTCTCCTTCCCTTCACCCCCACCTCTGATAACCACATATCTGATCTCTTTTTCTGTGAGTTTGGTTTTGTTTGTTTCTGTTTTTTAGATATAACTTCTTTATCTATTCACCCATCGATGGACACTTTCCATGTCTTGGCTATTGTATATAATGCTGCTATGAACATGGGGATACAGACATCTCAACATGGTGTTTCTGTTTCCATAGTGGCTGCACCAATTTACATTCCTACCAGTAGTGCCCAAGGGTTCCCTTTTCTCCACATCCCCCCCAACTTTTGTTATCCCTTGCCTTTTTGATGCTAGTCATTCGAACAGATGTCAGGTGTTTTGGAGTTCCCTGTATATTTTAGATATTTACCCCTTATCAGATATATGGTTTGTACATATTTTCTCCTATTCCATAGGTTGTCTTTTCATTTTATTGATGGTTTTCTTTGCTGTACAGAAGCTTTTTAGTTTGATGTAGTCCCACTTGTTTATTTTTAATTTTGTTGCTTATGCTTTCGATGTTCAAAATATCGTTCCCAAGTCCTACATCAGGGAACGTTTTTTCCTATGTTTTCTTCTAGGAGTTTTATTGTTTCAGGTGTTACATTTAAGTCTTTAGTCCATTTCAAATTAATTTTTGTGAGTGGTATAAGATAGGGGTGTAGTTTCATTCTTTTATACATGAGATCTTTTAGAACCTTGATACTGGAAAGAACTAAAGCTTGTTCATTATGACTGATAGGATTGGTACTGTTTTGAGGATTTTCATAAAGTATTATTTTCTAATATTCTTTGAGAGACTTTCTTTCCAATATCAAGCACCTCTTTAAATTTTTCTTAGCAGTGTGGTGGTAGTAGCAGTTCCCCACCTGTGAGCAATAGAACACTACTATCGGGAGTCTTATTTTTCATATTTCAAAAGCCTATCAGAAATTATGCACTATAATATGCATGTATAGGCCAAACATGACTAATAGGCCATAATATGACTAAAGAGGCCAAAATGACAGGTTACTTTTTGCTTTGGAAATAACATCAACCATTAGTGAGATTGGTAATAATTTTCATTCAAATATAACTGGAAGCCTTCCCAAACCCACTCCCAAAAATGAGCAGTGGCTCTTCCCTATGCATGCTTCTTTCACTTCACTTTCCACATGATACAGGATTTTCTTATAAGTCTCTCTCTGAAATATAAACTGTAAAGCTTTTAATCAACAAAGAAAATGGTCTTCCTACTTTCCTTGAATGCTTCAAACTTGTTCTCACCCTGAGTGCATTTCTAATTGGCTATTTCCTCTGCTTGGATTGCTTTGTTTCATCCTTTTAATAAAGTTTCAGCTCAGATAACACCTTCTCCCCCATCTCCTATCCTGGTTTATTTTCATCACAGCACATTACTCCCTTAATGTCTTTGTTTTTGTATTGAGAGTTTGCCATACCGAACCTGGTGTTTCATGAGATCAGGAACATTGCCTATCTTTTTTCTCTGCTGTATTTCTAGGGGCTAGGAAAATCCTGAAACATAGCAGGGGCATAATAATATTTGAAGGAATTTGTGAGGCTTTTTTTTTTTTTTAAACATTTTCATGATACTGGGGTTAAAGTAAATAAGACAGGCATGATACTTGTGTCCAGGTTCTGTACTTTTTATAGTCTTGTTCAATTGGGAGCCTAAATAAACCTAAAGTGATTTAATACTAGTATAGATTGGATATATTTATTCGCTTTCATATATTAGTTATTTGCCTTTAGCTATTTCATTTCTATGGGAAACAGACAACAATAACACAAGGTAGTTACCTAGTTATTTAATCTATTTATTAGACCTAAAAGGATCTTCAAAATTTTGATTCAGCTCCTCAGCTTCTGACTGAAGTAGGTTCTTAGAAGTGAAGTGAAATTTCCTCAAATCACCCTTAATTAATAACAAGGTAGTATTTTATTTTAAGCCAGTCTTCTGGCTGTAAATCCAGTATTTATTTTTTAGCTGCTAGATGATTTGAAAATAAAATATTCAGAAATCCTCCTTATTAGAAGGATTTTTCTTTTGCCACTGTTTCTCCATATGGAAGCACCATCTATTTGTGTGTTCAGTAAGATTTTATGTATAACCTGGTTTCTGAGGACTTAAAAGATTTATCTTATCACAGAACTATGTTTTTCTTTGGCTTGAATTTGTAATTTTAATTATGTAATATGTCAAACATACAGAAAAGTGTGGAATAATAGAAAAGATTTCTATGTATCCACCACAGAGAATAAAAAGATGTTAACATCAAAAAAAAAGAGACAGGCATGAACCCTGCCCCTGTATTATTTGCCCTTTTGTCATAGAACATCATAGCCACTTCTAATAAGAGTTAAACTTATCAAATGACAAAACTGAAACAATTTAGTAAGGTGTTTGATGCCATTTATTCAAAGGAAAACAATCCATGGATTGGGAGAGTACAGTGCCTGGCAAGCATGGAGCACTCTTCACAAGGGATTTTGGGCAAGAGGGAGTTTTATAAAGAATTAGAAGAAGCATTGGCCAAGAGGTGGAGAATTTCTTCATAAGGCTAGCAGGTCCTATTTTCTAGGGCACGGTAATCTAGCTAAAACTGAGTTGGAAGATTGCGATTTGCTGTGTTAGGTTTCCTTGACAGGTGTTTCCTGTAAGTGCTGGCTGACTTAGGTTTAGATTTGTTACATGGGCTGGGCTACTGTGGCAGCCTTCATTTTGTGCATACTGATATACTAATTAACTTCATCAAACTGTTAAGAATCTGTATTTGACAGTTACATATGTCCGATTCAAAATAAGAAAATTATCTGGCATCTTTTATATTCATAGGTACACATTTATGAATGACATGCAGTTAATTGTAATTTGTAATTTTGCTAGGCATATATTCAACCTACCCATCCCTTTGTATGAGAACTAGCAGAAATGACATAACTAGTAAGAAAACCTAGCCAGTTGGCTCTCAGTAACTTTAGTTTCTAATCTCTAACAAATTACACTCTCAGTTGCATTATTCCATAGAAGTATTTACTAAAGAAAATATCGTATAAGTCCTCAGATTTTGGCCTCCAGAAATATTTAGGATCAAGTAAATTTTTTAACAATTGTCTTAGAGTAAATGACAGTCATTAAGACATATTTGTGCATGTGTTCAACACATTTATTGGGCATTGACTATGTGACAGACATTGTGCTAGGTCCTAAACTGACCCAGAAAACTCAGAGCTTTGTGGGGGACATGTCAGTATAACAAATATATGTACCTCTGTTGTTGAGTGGCGAGAAGGAAACCCTAACTCTGCTTGCAGAAGTTGTGTCAGTGAGGCAAGGAAGGCCCTATGGGGGATAGCAGTTAGATAAAATGAGGGAGGTCATTAATAATTTGTGTAAAGGCACTGTGAAATAAAAGATTTTGTCAGGTTTGGGAACTGCAAGTCATTGGATAACACTGGATGAAAGTGGGAGAATAATTCACATGAGGTTGAAAAATTAGGCAAGGATCTTTTTATGATCAAAAGCTTCAAAATTATTTTAAGCAAGAATATGCATGTAAAGCAGGTTTTTCTGTAGAAATTTTAGATCACATATTTGTACATATTTAGGTACTGTAAAATGTTCTTTAACATGAATTTGTATCGCTTCTCGGCCTTTTGGCTAATATCAAGTGTAAAAGAGTGAATTTGTGAAATTAGCTTATAAAGCACTAGTGAGTGTAACATTAAAATATATTTGAAGATTTTAGTGGGAAAGCAAATTCGTCACAAATTCAGTGTTACAAAGATGTATGTAAAGATTTAGAAAATTTTATAATGGTAGGGAGGAAAATCTTGATAGCTAGCGTGTAAATTTCATTAGTAACGACAGATCTGTAGAAGATACTCTGTACAAAGAAATAAATATCGTGGGCATTTTTAGTAAGAATAGTTGCTAAAGTGTGCATGCAATTTTTTGCCGGGGAGTGGAGGCTTGCTTTAAAAAAAAAAAGTTAACGCCTTCCACTTTTCTTGTCTTTAAAAAAAAAAAAAGGGAGCAGAGAGGGATGGAGATGACTCGTTTCACGAGACCGCGGTCCCTCTCGAGTTTCTCCGGCTGTGAGTGAGGCTTGCTGGGCCGGCACGGGGCGGAGCCGATGGTGACGCGCCCTTGCGCCGCAAGGCATTGTGGGGAGCTCGGGCCGAGAGTAAGGTGGTTGGAGCGAGGTGGGGGCGGCCGTTTGTTTTCTCGTGGTGTCGAGCTCGCGCGGCCTCTTCGTTCCCCGCGGCAACCAGCGGGGCGGAGAAACGGCGGCGACGGCAGCAGCGGCTGCAGCTCCGGACACCGTCCTGTTTCCTCTCCGGCGAACCGGTTCCTCTTCCCCCTCCCTCTCACTGTTTGTTGTGTGTTTGATGTGTTAAAGCAGGAGCGAGTACGCGAGCAGCGCCATGAGCAACACTACCATCGTCCCCAGCACTGCGGGCCCGGGCCCCAGCGGCG